GACCACTGGATGCTCGTATTTATTTTGCGATTTTATTTATTTATTAATTTCAGTTTATTGACTCATCTGAAGTTCTGTAAAGATTTTGAAGTTGACAATCACATAAAAGATTTTGCTGCAAAACTGTCTTTAATACCGAGCCCGCCACCTGGACCTCTCCATTTGGTAATTAAATCTGGAATTATCTTGTTTTTCCCTTGCACACATGTAAGATGATGAAGATGGCTGAAATGTTTTAAGTGATTCTCTTAAGTTCTGGCTTTATTTAAATTATGCTTCTCAAGTTCCTTACAGAAGTGTTTTATACACTATTTCAAAGGTCAAAAAACTAGGGATAAATCAGAAGTTTATTTTCTAAAAATTAGAAATTAAAATTTGGGGCAAGAAGTCAAATATTTAGGCTTGAGTTTTGCTGTGACTCATGAAAAACAGAATCAGAGCTAGTAATAGGCCCCTTTGGTGGTTATCTTGTTAACTCATCACTTGCCTTGCAGAAAATGTAAGTTTACTTACGTTGCTAGTTTCCCTTTAGTGTGTTTGTCTGGACAGTTGGCTATTATATTCACTTTGTGAATGTTTTCTCCTGTCGGTGTGAGTATTGAAGTAACTGGTTTATAGTTTCTGTTATTTGCAGAACGCTTGTGTGACTTAATTGATAAACAGGTGTCTCCCGAACTGGGGTGTGGGGAGCCCTGGCCCTCAGTCGCCGCTGGCCGTGTCGTGGCAGGGGCTTCAGGGCTGAGACCGCCAGGGAGAGGCTGCCCTCCTTTCCCTTGGTTGAGTAACGTGTCAGACTGCTAAGCTGTGTGGTGAAACCTGTTTGACTCAGCGGTTTCCAAACAAATTTAACCATAGGATGCTTCCCTTTTTTTAAAAAATAGACACCGATTTGATAAACGTCTTGAAATGTACAGTTAATGTAAAGTCAGTTTCCCTCTGTTAGCCCCTTCTGGAAGATTATGTTTCTAAGTCTTGTTTTTCTATATTTTGATTATTATGGGCTGTTGAAACATTTATTAGGAAATTTGTGATTATGAACTTGAAACGTTTATGTTTAATGTTACCCTAAGCCCAGCAGTCTGCTCGGGGCAGTGGGCGGAGGGGGATATCCTGCCAAGTGCATTCCAGGCTCAAGGCAGAGCAGGACCTCTGTCTGCTTCGGTTCCACCCCCAGAAACCTTTGTGGGGAAATTTGTTGGATTTTTGTGCTGGGCACTCACCTTTACTATGCGGATAATTGGTATTTTTGTGCAATGAAATCAGCAAGGTTTCCTTTCTTGTTCTAGAAACTCAGCACATATTCACTGGGGATCTGCTGCAGCAGTGAACAAAAGTCCCTGAGCTCAGAACAGTTTTAGGATTAACTGTCATGTGCTGTGCTCTACCTTTTGCCATAAGTAACATGGTATAAATGGTACTTACACCAGTTTCCTGTGTCCTAGAATCTTGGAGTGGTTGATGTTTGGTTCCTCCGTTTCTGCCAGCCCCAGTGAAAAAGTGTTCTGGGGACATTCTCCATGCCTCTAATCCCACCATCCACACCTGTCACACCCACCTGTCACCCACACCTGTCAGTCACACTTGACCAGCTTGCCTCCAACATCTGGTTCTAGTTCACCCGCTTCCACTGTCACCACCCCATTCTGGGCCACCAGCTTTTCCCACTAACTTGACTTAGGGAACCACTGGTCTGTCCACTTCCATTCTTAACCTTACATATAGTTCATCCTTTGCACAGTAGCTGGAGAGAGCATTAAAATCTATACATTGAACTGTCCTTCTATGCATAAAACCCCACAACAGTTTCTCCCTGGTCGCCCTCACCAAGAGATGCATCCCTGGCCCCTGCGTCACTGTCCAGCTCTGTCCAGCTCCGTTCACTCCCTTGGTCACTGTCCTCCGGCTGCACTGGACGTCGGTCGGTCCCTCGCAGGTGCTGCCACAGGGCTCTTGCATGTGCTGTTCCTGGAAGTATGGCTCTCTCCATTTTCCCTCTCCAGCCCCTGCTCCTCTCTCCAACCTGGCTCAGATGCTGGTTCTCCAGAGTAGCTGGACCCGCGGTCTCTCGCAGCAGCCGCTCTCTTCCTGCAGAGCTCAGCACAGCCTTCAGTTAGGGCTTGCATGCACGTGTTTTTTGGTGAATGTCCGTTTTCTCCATTGGACTCTGAGCTGCGTGAGGATGGAGGCCACGCTCAGATCTGCATATGCAGGACTTGCCACTGCGTCCAGCGCTCAGCTGCTACCCCCCGGAGTGCTGTTCAGCGAGTGAATGTGAGTGAGCCTTGTTTCAGCATCAGCCAGGAGTGTTCCTTCAGCCAGGGTCTGCGTGTGGGGCCCGTGGTCTGTCCGCCTGGGCCGAGTCTGGATAAGTCCCGTCACTGTGATCCTCCACTAACACGTCTCATTAGCTGTTGGGTCCAAGTTGACATAAGAGTTGTCATCTATTTTAGGGACTGTTGTATAATAGTGGCTGTTTATTGTTGTGAAGAAATCCGAGAGGTCAGCTTAGGCCAGTGTCCTCTGAGGCAGGAGCTGCTGCGGCAGAATCTTCCAGAACCCACTGCAAACCAGCGCCAGGTTAGAGGCTGTCACAGCGGCCAGGAGCGGTGGTCCTTGTGTGTCGAATAGTGCGCGTGCTCATCTCTGACCTGCGCTGATGGGGCAGGAGGCCCACAGGGTGGGGAGTGGGGAGGCAGGGACCCCGCACATCCTCTCAGGGGCCTGGACCACCCGCCGAGGAGAGCAGAGGCCCTGGGCCTGCTCTGCTTTCTCTGCCCAGCAGTGGTTCTGATTTTATTTGCTTTTCAAATTATGGGCCTGACCGGGGATGCCCAGTGAGGCGTGTGGCTTATCACTGTACCCGAGTCACGTTCTGTTTGCTCTGTGTGAGAAGTCTGCTGTTTCTCTGGGGCTCCAATCAGGTTGAAATCCGGAAAATATTGACCTAGAATATCTCTCCCTCCTCAGTTTCTTAAATCTGTAGAGTGGGTAGAATAACAGAGCCCACCTCAGAGGGTGTGAGTGTCAAGACTGTAAGATCGTTAGCAGGCCACCCGAGATGTCGCAGTGACCATGTTACTGTAGAGTGACCAGCAAACTACGGAGCTGGTTTTTGTCTTTAATGGGTGTCTGGTTGGCATGTTTAGTTTTTGAAACACTGAGGAGAATTTTTCGTACAAGTGTTAGAATTGTTAATAATTCATCACAGCTTGGAGTATTTAATTCTGCTTTGTTTTGTTTTGTTTTAAAACAAATGTATTGGTCTCGTAAGTGTATCTGCCTTATTTTTAATGCCTTCCTTCTGTAGCCAAACTGGGAACAAGAAACCCCAGTATTGATTGGAGGCACGAGCAGATGTCCTGGCTGTCAGAAATGACGGTCTTGTCTTGTTTCCAGTTCTGTGTGTGTGTGTGTGTGTGTGTGCGTGTGCACGCGCAAAAATTAATCAATACCGAGGGCCCCGTTTTCCCTTTGGTAACTGTAAGTTTGTTTTCTCTGTGAGTGCTTCTGTTTTGTAAATAAGTCCATTTGTATCATTTTATAAGATTCCAGATATAAGCGATAGCATGTGATATTTGTCTTTTGTCTGACTTACTTCACTCAGTATGTTGATCTCCAGGCCCACCCATGTTGCTGCAGATGGCATTATTGCATTCTTTTTTATGGCTGAGTAGTATTCCATTGTATAAATACACCACCTCTTCTTTATCCAGCCATGTGTTGATGGACACTTAGGTTGCTGCCGTGTCTTGGCTGTCATGAATAGTGCTGCTGTGAACACTGGGGTGCAGGTGTCTTTTAGAATTAGAGTTTTCATCTTTTCTGGATATACGCCCAGGAGTGGGATTGCTGGATCACATGGTGACTCTAGTTTTAGTTTTTTAAGGACCCTCCCTACTGTCCTCCGCAGTGGCTGCACGGTTTGCCTTCCCACCAGCAGCGCAGGAGGCTCCCTTTCCCCCTCGCCCTCTCCAGCAGTTGCTGTTTGCGGGCTGGTGGGTGCTGGCTGCCTGGCCTTTTTCCCGACCCAGTTCTCTGCTTTCCTGCATTTCTCAACCTTCCACACTTTTCCTAGAGGAAGCTGCTTCATCGAAGATTTGATTCCCTTTTCCTGTTCTGATTTCCCAAAGCTCTGCTCGTGCTCAGCCCCCTCCATCCACTCGTGTGTCGGAGCGTCAGGGGCGGCCGGGCCCCAGCACTTGCTGAGGGCCCCCCAGGTGCCTGCTGCCAAGGGAGGCGTCACCTGCTGTTCAACCCTCCACCTCCTTGGCTCCCTCAGCCCCACATGGGGGGGCCACACCTTCCTCCTTCACGTCTGCCTCGTCCTCTCACACACCACAGGCCTGTGGACGTGGAATTTGAATTGAAGTGTTACTTTTAAATAACATCATTTTGAAAAATAAAGTGTCTTTGCTAAGTTTTTTTTGAATCCCATGTCATTAAGGAGCTTTGACTATCAAATTGAAAATACAAGAGACTGTGTAATAAGCAGGACCCGAGACAATGTGTACTAGCCAAGATTGACCTGGATGTGCGTGGTTAGAGTCTGTGTGGGTTGGGGTGGGCGGCTGGGAGGCAGTTTGTCCTTGTTTTGTGAATGAGCAGCGTGCTAATTGATTAACGAGTTTAAGGAAGTTTAGCTGAAAAAGACACTAAGCGCTCAGCTTGAGCATGAACAGTCCCTGGCAGTTCTGTTTATCTCTAGACTGTTCTGTTACTCTGTGACATCAAAGTGTTTGCTTTCTGAGCCCGAACAGTGCATCTCAGTGCCTTTCAGCCTCCTGAGCTAATGATGGAAATCGGTTGTTGCAGATATTTAACATGAAACCACTACAGATCGTGTTTCCCTCGAGAGCGGACCCCGAAAGCCCGCTCATCGACCTGGACCTTCACCTGCCCTTACTGTGCTTCAGACCCGAGAAGGTGCTGCAGGTACGCGTCCTTCCAAGCCTGTGAGCATCTCGAGCTGAGTGGCTCCCTGGGGCATCCACACTACTCAAAATACTTATTTTATTTTTATTTTTTTGCTTAAAGCTGACACTCACTACAATGGATACTATATGCAGAGAGCACTTTTAGGGGGTCAGAGTGGCTTTGGTTGCAGCAAACGGAGCAGGGAAAGCAGGGTGGATGCTGGGTGCCATGCCCGGTGCTTCAGCTTTGTCCCCGGTGCTGTCCACGCCCAGATCCTCACATGCCTCTTGACGGAGCAGCGCGTCGTGTTCTTCTCGTCCAGCTGGGCTCTGCTGACGCTGGTGGCCGAGTGCTTCATGGTCTACCTGCACCCCCTGCAGTGGCAGCACACGTTCGTGCCCATCCTGTCGGGGCAGATGCTGGACTTCCTCATGGCGCCCACATCCTTCCTCATGGGCTGCCACCTCGACCACTTTGAAGAAGTCAGCAAGGTTGGTGGTCCACCCCGTGAGCGCCTGGGGACGCCGGGTGGGAAGCTGCTGGGCGGTGCCCTGGCCCTCGAGGGTGGGTGGGGGCAGAGAGACGCGGTCACTCTTCCTGAGCGCTGCTGCTCTGGGCGTCACACGCACGGTGTACACGACCTCCTGTGTCCCGGGGTGTTCAGGGCCCGCGCTCCAGGTGTCACACCCTGATGCCGCTTAGTCCACTTAGATCACAGTGGCTCTGATGGCTTCTGTGGCCTTTCAGCGAGGCCAGGGCAGGCGATGGAGTCGAGGGAGCCTGATTTCAAGTCTCTGCCCTGAGTGACTTCCCTGCCTTTGCTAAGCCTCAGTTTCCTTGTCTGTGAAATGGACACTGCCTCGGGCTCCTGAGCAGGGCTCTGGCTGAGGAATGTCCCCGTCCCTCCTGGTGCCCGGCAGGTGGCTGGCGCTTGGTAGACCAGAGCCGGCATTGTTATTGCTCCACATTTTCCATTTTTAGTTTTCTCATTAAGCCTCTGTTGTTCACGAATACTACGGACCTACTTCCTAGAAAAATGCAGGTGTGTGCAGCTGTGTCAGAGGGGTCTGTGGGCTGTGCTGAGTTCAGTGGCCGTTTACTTGCCGTGGGGCTGACTTGTGACAGGGTGTGACACCCTTCAGTGTCCTGGTGGCAAAAGGACGGTACGTGCGTGGCTGAGTTATCGTGGCAGCATCTAGGGGTCGACAGAACAGCTGCATACAGCAAGTGCTTAATACGTGGTAGCTGTCTTTCCCGCCATGCCGACAGAGACGGGGTATATTTAGAAGGGGAGCTAATGCCATGGATCTGGGATGGACTGCAGTATCGCCAGCGGGCAGAGCAGGTTTGCTTTTCTCAAAACAGCTTTTGTTAGATATAATTTACATACCAGAGTTTCCTGGACTAAAATGTGCAACTTAGTGGCTTTCAGTAACTTTACAGAGCTGTGACGACTAATTTTGGACTTTTCCGTCAGCCACCAAGGTACCCTGTGTGCATCAGCAGCCACCCCGTCCTGCCCCCTGCCCAGCCCCTGGCAGAAAGTGTCCACCCTCTGTCTCTGTGGAGCTGCCTGCTCTGTACGCATGGGTTTTGCGTAGATGGCGTCACTCAGCACGTGGTCTCTCGTGACTGGCTCCTCGCACTAAGCGTCATGCTCCTTGAGGTTCACCTTTGCAGCAGCACTTGACTTTTCTTGCCAAATAGGATTCCCTTGAATGAAGAGACCACAGTTTATCCACTCGTGGGCTGGAGACACTTGGGGTTGTTTCTGCCTTTTGGCCGTTGTGGACATCGCAGCTGTGCATAGTCACATACACGGTTTGTGTGGACGTGTGTCATTTTCCTCGGGAGTCACACCTAGGAGAGAGGCTGCTGGGTCAGGTGGTAACGGGGCGTCTAACGTTTGGGAAATGGCCAGGCTGTGGTCCCCAGCGGCTGCAGGCTCGCGCCTCCCTCCAGCAGGGGTGGGGGGACTCTGATTCTCCCCCGCCTCACGGCACTAGTCCTGTCTTTGGACCCCAGCCCCCCTGCTGGGCGGCTTTGGTGGGCATCTCCCCAGTGACTGGCCATGTGGGGCTCTTTTTCATGTGCTTATTGGCAGTTGGTACAGGGTAGCTTTCCTTTTAAACTGTCATTTTGAAAATTTCTAAGTAGGCACAAAAACAGAGAGAGGAGCAGAGGGGATGCTGTGCACGCCCCTCCGTCTTCAGCCATCATCTGGCTTTTTTCCGGGCATATAGAGCCACTCCTGGAAGAGGGTAGGGTAGACGCTGTGCTTGGCCCAGGGCCCCTCCGGGGGTGGAGCCAAGTATCTGTGTTTCTTGCCAGAGCGAGTGACTTACCAGGGGACAAACACAGTTTGGGAAAAGGCCATTCAGACCTCATGGAAGGAACGGAAATATGTCACCCTTGCAAACAAGGGAAAAATAGACCATGCTCCGGAGTTTAAAATTATGTTTCTTCTTTAAGTCATTCGGGGGAAAAAAAACCATCTTGTTTCAGACCCTTCAGAAGGGAAGCTTGCAGGCATGGGTACTTGATTCCAGTCCTTAGCCACCAAGGAAGCCCTTTGAGTGATTCTCCTGTCCAGGAAGACTTCAGGACAAGGCAGCGGCCTGGACCGAACGCGTCTGAGGGTTGGGGTGTTTTCTCTGGCTGGGGGCTTGGAGGGGATCCTTGCTGCTCCGCGAGGGTGGCCCGCTCGCCTGCCGGCTTAGGGCTCTGCCCCAAAGACGTGTTATGGCGTGCTCACGTGCCCCCGAGACACACGTTAAGAGGTGAAAGCTGGTGTCACATTCCAGGGATAGCTGAGGTGCAGAACTCTGGGTTTGGCGCATTATTTGTGTGTTTTGTCCCTGATAAGACTTTACAAGTAAGACATGCACACATTTCAAGAACTCTTAAGTGTGTGGGCTCCCCGGGCCAGGACGCGCCCTGCTCCCGTGCCTGGAGGGCAGCCCAGCGGGCACGTTGAGCCGTGACTGCAGGGTGCCGGCGCTCTCCCTGGAGCTCTGAGTGCTCTCCCCAGACCTCCTCAAGGAGGACGTGGCGTGTTTGTACGGTGGGGGGTGAAAGCCTGATGCTGTGCGTTGGAATCTTGAGTCAAAGAGGCAGATTTAATCAGACGAGCTTGTTGACCTCACTCCTGGTGTCCACCGCATTTGTGGTAGAGATGATATAAAGCTTTGTGTGCATGTGAGACATGATCGTTTAATGAACGCTGATACGATCTTAGGGAATGAGTCCAGAGAGGTAGATAGACTCAGATTTTCACGTCGGTCTGGTCTTTACGAACGTATCTTACAGGAAGCCGACGGCCTGATTCTGATAAACATCGACAGTGGCAGCATCGCGCACTTGAGCAAGGAGGATGCCGCTGTCCCCGACATCCCTCTCCTGGCTGCGCAGACATTTGTCCAGAGGTAAAGGGGGAAGCAGCGTTTTTGGGAAAGTCTTGTTCGGGTTCTGTACTCGCCAATTCTGAGTGTCTTTTCCAGTCTTATATTAGTAAATGTTTGATGTATTTAGGAGTGTGGAAGTTATTGGTGAATATTTAAAAATAAAAGTTGTTTGTTTTCATTCCGACTTTGCCTGCATGCTAACGGTGGCCCCCAGGTCCCGGACGGTCACCTCCCAACCCTCTTCTGTGCCCCAGGGCCTGCACCTGTGATCTCCAGGCTTCCTTTTCCTCATTCGTTCGCTCTTTCCTTATTCACTCACCAGACACAGACCCAGCGCCCATCACATGCCTTGCGTTGGAGGGGTGTGTGTGTGTGATGCGCAAACCGACGTGGCCCCACCCTCGGGCACCGTCGGTCTGGGGACCCCGACATGTGTGGCTCCATCCTTCCCTGAGCAGGGGGCTGCCTCTCCCCTTCACTCCCTCCCTGCGCTCGCTCAGCGCTCTTAGTTTTCACGACTGTCTAATGGCTCTTGACGCGTTTTCTAAACCTCTTTGACTGAGATCAGCCAGCCTTTTCCCAGAAAGGCAGGCAGTAAGCGTTGTAGGCGCTGCAGGCCCGGCGGCCTCTGTGGCAGTGGGAGGGGCCTGGCGGCGAGCCTCACACGTGCGCCCGGGGGGGGTGTGCTTACTACCCAAGTCAGGAAGCAGGTGCACCCGGGGTGTCCGGGGCCGCGCCGGGGGCTCCCTCGGGGTGCTCCTGCGGGGGACTGCCCCCCTTTGGAATCTAATTAACGGTGGTGGGAGAGGTCCTGCGTTCAGGCCTGCAGCCCGTGTGTGCGGTCCACAGGCAGACCTCGTGGGACGCTCGTGGTGGTGACAGGTGGGGGTGTGGGGCAGCTGCTCTCGGCTTTGGTCAAGTAGCCGGGCTGTGCCACTCTCCAGGGGCCAGGGGTGCAGCCAGTCTTACATCAGGGGTGGCTGTTCCCCTTTACTCTGTCTGCTGTTGGGAGATCGATGTGGAAAGAGCTGAGGCCTGAGAGGACGGGGAGGGAGTGGGTTGTTCTGTGCTGGCTCTTCTGAGTTCTGACTCTTACCTGTGTATTGGTCAGTGCAGGCTGCTGTAACAAACAGCACCTAAGCAACAGACATTTATTGTCTCCCAGTCCTGGAGAGTGGATATCTAAGATCAAGGTGTCGGCAGGGCTGATTTTCCCTGAGGCCTCTCTCCAGGGCACGTGGACGGCCGTCTCCTCCCTGTGTCCTCACGTGGTCGTCCCTCTGTGTGTGTTTGTGTCCTCATCTCCTCCTATAAGGACACCAGTCACATTGGATTAGGGCCACCCTAGTGACCTCATTTTAACTTAATTCGCTCTTTATCTCCAAATACAGTCACGTTCTGAAGTACTGGGGGTTAGGACTCCAACATAAGGATTTTGGGGAACACAGTTTAGCCCATCACACCTTGGTATCAGTGATTCCTTCTATCTGGGTGGTTTCTGCAAAACATACAGGAGGGTCACCTTTAGTACTGTTTTTTCCATCTTAAAAAAAATTGATGGAAGTCCCCACCCAGAGCTGAGGCTGTGGGTGTGGAGTCCTGTGTGGTCAGCGGGCGGTGCTCAGGGGACCCCAGCAAGGAGTCCTGTGGGGCTGTCCCCTTCATGACCTCAGAAAGCGAACCCTGCCTTCCTGATAAGCAGAGTCCACATTCCCCTGACTTGGAGTGTGACACTCTAGGACTGAAGTTTGCCAGCGTTTGCTGAGGCTTCTCGAGTGTTTACTCAGGTAGAGTGTCCCCAGTAAGACGGGATTCCCGCCTCTGCCCATGTGTTCTTGTCAGAATTCTAGAATGTTCTCAGCCGGTTGGATTCTCACTTGGCCAGACCCCTAGAAGGTGGGATGTGAAGTCTCTCAGGCTCGCCATGGGGGCTGTTTATAAGCATGAACTAGCCCATGTGTGGTCAGTGGCATGTCTGTAAAGCCCTCTGGGGCCATGGCCCGGGCTGTGGTGGTCAGTGTCCTGACAGGGCCTGGTGTAAGTGAGTCTGCAGATCGCATTTGGCCGAGGGGGACAAGGGGCAGTGCCCTTCTTCCCCGAGACGCCCCCTGTCTTCCTCACCTGTGTTTGCTGCATCCTCCCTGCCCCACCTGGCCTCCTGGAGGATGGGGACCGGGACCCCCAGCTCTCAGGGCCGAGCTGTCGGAGTGCCTGGGGCAGAGGGAAGGATGGCCGCAGGGGGAGTGGACGGCTTCTGCAGATGTTTGGTCCCTGCACAGAAGACAGGGTGGGAGGGGAGAGAGATTGCAGCAGGCAGCGCCGGGCCTTTTCTGCAGGAAAAGTCACTGAAATTCCTTTGCCCGTGGGACCCCGGTTCTGCGGGGTGAGCGGCCAGCCCGGTGCTGGGGGACAGCAGCAGGGCAGCGGCTGGCGCTCCTTCCAGGAGGGCGGTTTCCTGACCCGTCAGCCGGGTTAGCCGGGGCTGAGACGTCCCATCTCCTGCACAGCCTCTCCTCATGGGGCGCGAAACAGAGAGCTCCTGGGACCTGGTCTCACCTCCACCCCCACCTGGAGTCACATCGGCCCCGCCAGCCCGTCCTCACCAACAGTGAGGCCTTTGGTGGCCGGTGTTCCCCCACCCCCGGCCCCCGCCCCATATGCTCAGGGCCTGCCTCCACCTTTCAGGTCCAAGGTCCTCAGAGAGATTTCTCTGTCACTCTGTTCTGGTTCCCACTACCTCGTATTTGGGCACATTATCCATTTTTCTACTTTTTCCCACTCAAACGTAAGCTTCACATGGCTGGGCTTTGCTGCCCTCAGCTGATGCCTGGCGTGGCTTCTGGGCTCAGGGGTGTCGGCGGGATGGGTATGTGTTGGGCGGGTGTCCTTTGCATATTTAGAGCCTCAGACTCGCTCCTTGGTTTCCAGAGTTGCATCTAAAAGTGCAGCCTTGGGTGGTTTGAGGAGGCCAGGACCCCATTTGATGAAAACCGCTGCTAGCCTGAGTAGCTCTGGACGAGTCAGCGGCCATCCTGCGGTGCCGCAAGCCTGCCTGGCCAGGGGGCCGCCGTGTGTGTGAGGAGGGTCTTTGCAAGGGGGACAGAATGATTCAGCTCGGGTGAAAACTCAATGGTCCAAAGACAAGGCCTTCGTGAGTGTGTGTCCGGAGGTGAATGAACTCTTCTGGGGTGTATTTTTAATCTCCCTTTTCCCCAGCCTCCGGTCATTGACAGGTATTTCAGGCATCCCATGAGTGCTTTTGTTTTTGTGTTCCTGAGTGTTAATTTACCTCTTCCCAGGGGGCTCTCTCTCCGGCCATTAGGCAGTGATCAGGTGATGTGCCTGAGCTGTGGTCAGCATCCTTCTGCTCCTTTCCAGGGTCCAGACCCTGCAGCTGTACCACGAGCTGGACCTCGCCCACCTCTGCGCCAGCACTGACCTGAACGAGGACCGAGCCTCTCGGCGGGCCTGGCAGCAGGGACTCAACCACCAGATACAGCAGATCACCGTGCACCTGCTTGTCAGCATCTTCAGGTATTCACGACGCTGCGCGTGTCTGTAGCGGACCTGCCAGCTCCCAGTTCTGCTGGCCTTGACACCAGCACTCAGGTGACGGGGCATGAGAGAGGCCCCGCCCCCAGGAACCCTGCCTTGTGATCTTAAACATCAGCAGGTCCCTGGGAGGCGCTGACCCGCCTGGGCCCTTCCCACCCCTCGTCTCTCCTGCTGATGACTTCCTGGAGGGTCAGCCTGGGTGAGGGAGTGGATGGGCAGATCATGTTGGGAACGAAGCCCACCCAGGCCTGGCCCCGCAAGACCTTCCTCCTTTCTCCTCATCCCTGTAACTGCCATCAGCGTCTCTCGCGTGCTGCTGGGAACCGGCACTTGGGCGGAATCGGTTACGTAGACAGCACAGTGTGTTTATTTCGGTGTGGTGACGTGCAGGGGTGGAGCTGCTATTTCTGGCCTAAACGTGCTGTCGTTTGAGGAGCGTATGCTAAGCACTTGCCCTGGTAACATGCCAGCTTTTAAAGAAGGTATTAGTGGAGCAGCCTTCAGGCCTTTCTTTCTGCCAACGCTCTGCTTTGTCTCACAGCCTTCTCCTCCCTCTCTCTCTCCCCCTCTCCCTCCAATCGTGTGGCAGGGAAGGTGGCAGACTCCAGGTCTCCTTCTGATCTGGGTGGCCCCTTGCCTGGGAGGGGCTTAGACCGGCCAGCAGACCTCACGACACTCTGTGTGATGATTTCAAAACCGACATTTTAAAGGCCAGGTTCTTTTGCTGTCTGTTTCCATAAAGCAGATCATTTACTGGGGGGAAGTGGGATGTGGTGTTATAGACAGGTTGTATCAGCTCTTTGCTCAAAGCAGGATAGTTTGTGTGGTCGTAGAAATGTTGTTCTCCTCTTGTTCTTTTAAGACGAAATCTTTCGGGACAAGGGTGTAGCTCAAGTGGTAGAGCACATGCTTAGCATGCGTGAGGTCCTGGGTTCATTCCTTAGTACTTTAAGAATGAATAAATGAATAAGTAATTTAATCAAATAAAATTACCTCCCCCACCCCCAACAAAAGAGATGAAATCTTTCGTGAAGAAGGTTGTTTTTAATCCTCTGCATGCTTGATGAGTTTAGTTCATTAAAAAGCAGAACATATGATATCAGATTATAAAACTGAATTTCCCCTAGATAAAGTAATGGTTTCCCTCACAAGAGAAGGAAGACACTGAGCGGACTACATACTGCATACGCCCTGGAGGGCTGTTGATTCTATTGGCAGCGGTGACTTTAGATCGAGGGATCATGTGCAAAAGTCCCCATGGTGTGTAGGTGGGGAGGTTGGGTACAAAGATGCGAGGTGGCCAGTGGTGTTCAGGCTGGCGGCTTTGCTGGTTTAATATCAGAGTCTGGCCGCCCCTCCGTGTCACCATCCTGAACTCAGTTTTACTTGTATGGATAATTACTGATGCGTGCACCTTTATTTGCATAAGGAACTTTCAGGGCTTGAAGAAGACAGATGCCCCCTCCTGGAGCTTCAGCTTCAGTTGTGCTCTAAGTAACGAGACAGCCTGACCACAGAGCACACCCAAGCCGTGTGGCTCAGGGGTCGGGGCAGTCCTCCTGCAGAACGGGCCTTTTCAAAGTGTGTATGTCTTGCGGTCATTTTTCTGCTGACAGTGATGTGTTCTTCATGTATAAAGATACTTCACCATTTAGACTCTCTCTCCTCGTCAGGGATGTGAAGAATCACTTAAATTATGAACATCGTGTGTTCAACAGTGAAGAGTTCCTCAAAACCAGAGCCCCAGGGGACCAGGCCTTCTATAAACAGGTGAGAGGTGGTGGGGCGTGTGTCCATGATCTGCCCACCTTTCTGTATTGGAAGTATTTTTCAAAACAAATTATTTCCAGCATCCGTTAATATTTTACTCAGTGTTTCAGCTTTTCCAGCAGTTTGTTTTAGCGTGGTTCCTTTTGGTCCTTTGGCAGGCTCTGACTATTTTTATTCAGCTTTTTAGAGTGTAATTTACATATAACAAAATGCACTCATTTTAAGCAGCACTATTTACAATAGCCAAGACATGGAAACAACCTAAATGTCCATTGACAGACAACTGGATAAAGACGGTGTGGTATGTATATAATAGAACACTACTCAGCCATAAAAAAGAGTGAAATAATGCCATTTGCCGCAGCATGGATGGGCCTAGAGGTGATCATATTAAGTGAAGTGAGTCAGACAGAGAAAGACAAGTATCATATAATATCACTTATGTGGGATCTAAAAAAAGATACAAATTTTATTTACAAACCAGAAATAAACTCACGGACAGAAAACAAACTATGGTTACCAAAGGGGAAAGGGAATGGGGGAGGGATAAATTAGGAGTTTGGGATTAACAGACGCATATGACTGCATATAAAATAGATAAACAGCAAGGACCTGTTGTACAGCACAGGGAACTGTGTTTGATATCTTGTAATAACACATAATGGAAAAGAATCTGAAAAAATGTATATGTGTGTGTGTGCATAACTGAATTGCTGTGCTGTACACCTAAACTAACACTGCAGATCAACTCTACTTCAGTTTTAAAAATTAAGGAAAAAAACTAACCACACCCGCACCTCGTGGCCGCTGTCCCCGCTGAGTGAGACGGGCTGCGTTCTGTCTGTGAAAGGTGTATCTCCCTGAATAAACTTACTCACTTAAAAAAGAAATTTGCAGTATCGAGTGTGATGAGTCTTGACAAAGGCATAGACCTGGCAGCCCACCCCCCAGTCTGGTCTCGAACCTTTCTTTCCATCGTCCTGCACAATTCCATGCCCTTCCCGTCACCACCCCGTCCCAGGGCCGGGCAGTGCCCACCCCATCCGCGCGGTCTCCTGGGCTGCCGGCCTTCTCTCCCCGGGAGCTGATGTGGAGATCCGTCCCTGAGAGCCCGCAGACAGGGTGCGCTGGCCGCAAGGTGTGGATCGCCTGGGAGGCCACCGTCCACAGGAGACCCCAGACTCATTGATAAAATGCAGGGACTGTGGCTGCTGCTGTCCTAGGGGGCAGGGTGGTTCGGGCTTTTGAACTTTCAGGGATTTTTCAGATGCAGAGAGTGGCTGCTTCCTTCAGACTGGCTGGTGGGGAACTGAGGGGGACTCTGAGGTGGTGATAAATTACGAAAGCTACCTGTGTTTGGGAGCTTCGGTCCGAGGAGCTGGGGAGAGGACGCGGGGGGGGCGGGGGCGGGGGCGGGGCTCTAGCTCGGCTCAGCGAGGCCGGTCCAGCGAGTGAGCGCTCGCCGTGACCCGCCCTCTGCGTCCGTTCCAGGTCTTGGATACCTACATGTTCCACGCTTTCCTCAAGGCCCGGCTCAGCAGAAGGATGGACGCCTTTGCCCAGATGGACCTCCACACGCAGTCCGAGGAGGACAGGTGCTGCGACTGGGCTGGAGGCTGCCCGGCTCTCTGGGGCCTGGGGCTCATGCAGCACGGCTGTACGGGGCGGATAACGACGCGTTCAGTCGGGGAAGCTTCCTCTGTAACGTTCAGGAGCCGGGGAGCAGCCAGGCGCCCCCTGTGCGTTTCTGCCTCTTGGGGGAGCACGTGGAATGCGCCCGCCCTGGCCCCTCGGGGTCTGGGCTTGCTGCTTTCTCCCACCTTCTCTCTCTCCCCGCGTCTTCACTGTTTCCTGCCTCTTCCTCGATGCTCTTCCTGATCCCCCAAACATGCGCCAGCCGTTGGCAGTGCCCTCGTCTGTTGTCTGTGTTGTGGCCTCTCCTGGGGTGCGGACTGTCCTTCAGCCTTAACTGCACGTGGGAGAGCCCGGTGTGTCCCCGCTGCTTCCTGCTCAGTGCGGGAGTGTCGGGTGCTGGTCACCACGCCGGGGAGAATGCTCAGCTGAGCCTTGCTCTCCGATCCCTGTTGCATCTGGAAAGTGATGTGCTGGCTTTCTCTACTCAGGATAAATGGGACACTCCTAAGTCCGAGAAGACCGACGATCGAGAAGATGGCCAGCCGCAAGTCCTCGTCGCTGCATGCGGCCGACAGGCGCATGGTGGTCAGCATGCCCAACCTGCAGGACATCGTGGTTCCCGAGCTGCCGCCCCGCAACTCGTCGCTTCGGAAAATGCACACCTCGGATTGTGGGAGCAGCCATGCAGGTGACACAGCCACTCCTGTTTGGGGGCTTCTGTTTGTCACGTGACTCTCATGCTGCAGGTCATCAGAAGAAACCGAAGCCTGTAACCAGAGAAGGGACGGGTTTTTGGTTTTCCTAAAGAAGTTTAATTATTTGAAACACTTCTCGAGTATTCATCCTGCAGACCGTGTCCAGTGTGGAGAATGATTTCTTGTGTGTACTTTCCATCATCCCATCCCACTGCTGAAGGCGGCAGTCGTACAGTTTCCTGTGTCTTTCATGCGTGTGTGTGTAGGTGCACATATATGTACATGTACACAGCAAGTACGTGTTTACGTACCTCCCTGTCTAAAGGGACATGACAATTGCTGGGCCCCCAGTGACCACCAGGCCCTTTCTGGCACTGGGGGTACAGGCCCCCACCCTCCTGAGCTGACGTTCCCGGGGTAAAGGCAGGTGATAGAGAAGCATGTGACTTCGGGGTATCAGGGTCATGACCTGAGCCGTCACGGGGTGGTCGGGTGCTGATGGGCAGCGATGCGGTGACTGGAGAGGCCAGCTGCGGCCCCAGCGGGTAGACTCCGGGGGAGGGCAAGTTGAGAGATGCGGCTGCTGCATCTCTGAAGGAATCTGCGCAGCCCCGACTGTCGGTGTTAAGTTGCTATAAAACACGACGGACGTGTGTGAGCCCACTTGTCCCTGCCTGGGCCGCGGCAAAGCAAGTCACAGTGTCGGTCGTTTGTGCTCTGGGTCCTCTCCCTGTGGTCCCCGGGTGAAGTCTCCATCCGTCCACGGTGGACCAGAGAAGCTGCGGTGAGGCCAGGTGCTGCCCACCTCCCGCCCCCAGCAGGTCCATCTCAGCTTAGGGTGTTAGCTTAATCCTTCGACGGGTAAGGACTCACTACCACTTGTTTCCGTTGAGCATCAATAGTTTTAGCAAATAAAGCTGTTCAGTGTTCGCAGAGGGCATGAAGGCAGTGAGGGGCTGTTCAGCGGCGGGGGGCGGTGTGTGTGGAACTTCCTGGACAAGGCACACAGGTCCCTGCCCTGCCCTGTGCCGAGGCAGGAGCCCTGGCCTGGACCGCGGGCTGGGAGGGGGCGGCGTTGGTGTGTAAGGCCCTGCTAACTGTCTGCTCGCCTCCGCTTCCCCCGTCAGTTCTGAGTGTGGCCCCCAAGTCCACGCACACCTTCAAGATCCCGGAAGTCCACTTCCCGCTGGTGGGCCAGTGTGTGCAGGCGTTCCACGCGGACTGCGCCGCCCAGCTGACCAAGGCCATGGGCTCGCTGCCGCCCGAGAGCTCGGCGCTCCTGGCCGGGTTCCTCTACCTGCGCGGGCTCGTCCGCCTGACGCAGGGCCAGCTGCTGGGCGCGCTCCTGGACTTTCAGAGCCTATACAAGACGGACGTGCGGATCTTCCCCGCCGACCTCGTCCAGAGGACGGTGGAGTCCCTGTCGGGGCCCGAGCGCGTGCAGGCGGAGCGGACGCCCGAGCTGCGGAGGCTCATGAGCGAGGTCATGGACAAGCCCGCGGACGCCCCCAAGGCCGACGACCGCGTCAAGCACTTCGAGCTGCCCAGGACGCACATGCAGCTGGACGACTTCGTGAAGAGGGTCCAGGAGTCGGGCATCGTGAAGGACGCCGGCACCATCCACCGGCTGTTCGCCGCACTGACCGTAGGTGCGAGGCCGCAGGCAGGGCGGGGCGGGGCGGGGCGGCCCGCAGGGAGGAGCCTTGCGCCGAGAGGCCTTCACTGGCTCCCTGGGCGTGAGGACCTAGGGGGCTGCCAAGCCTTTGGCCCTGGTGGGGGCGGGGCTGGGGATGCTTGACGGCATCTCTCCCGTCCTGGGGGTCCGCTCGCTGCGCGATGACCACTCCCTCCCAAGTGGGGGCCCTCGGCTTCAGCGGGAACGCTTCCGACACTCGTAACGGGGAGACCGTGTGGCAAACACCTCCCGCCCCCCCGCCACCTTCGTTTCCCCGAATTTGCTGCAGCTGCGGGTGGGCTGAGCTCCCTTCCGCTCCTCCCTCCTCAGAGGGACACCGTCCTAAACTGGGCCTTTGCCTTCGGGCCATTTTTTATGCATTTGCTGGAAGTGGCTGTCCCCACCAACAGTGCACAGGATTTGTGTTTTGAAACTGAACCACGTGTGAAGTATGCATGTCAGCCTGCGTTTTCTGCTCTCTTCAATGCTGTGTTCTCAGAGTGTGCCCGTGGTGACACATGGATCTGGACGTTCGCTTAGTCACCGGCGGTGTGGCCTGAGGACCGCTCAGCATGTTAGCTGCTCCCCATCCGGTGGTGTCGGTGATTCTGCTTTTCAGGTGCCGACACGGAGGGTCGCCACCTGTCCCCCGAGCGTGCGGGACGCCTTCCTCTGGGGCTGCAGCAGGAGAGCCGTCATCCCTGCCGCAGGTGCCTCGACCCCCGGCTGCCCCGCCTGTGAGGGGCCGGCTTCCCTCCTCCTGGGGACCCCTGGGCATTGGCGTTGAAAGCATGTGGCGCACCTTGAGAGGGAGGAGACCTCTGCTGTCGTTCTGGCCGAGCATCTGTGCCTGGAGCCGCCGGTCCCTGTCCTCTGAGCCCTCGTTGCAGTCCTGCCCATTTCCCCATCGGACAGTTACCCTCACTTCTGTGGGCAGGACCTGCTGTGTCCTCTGGAAAGGCATCCTTTGCTAGTAACAGGCTGGGGACGTCCCCCTCGTGCAACTCCAAGACTACAGGACATGGCTCCTGCCTTGTTTCCCGTCTGCGGGCAGACGTGGTGTCATTTCTGTGCACGCGTATGCCCTTCCCCCAGGCAGGCCGTGGACTGTTTGTTCAGGGGCCTCTCAGTCGGCATGATGAGGGCGCGGCCAGCCCAGGGCTCGCGGGACTCTCCACGTGGTGACACTTACGTGGAGAAGTGGCAGCTCCTTGGCTGAACCAGCCCGTCTCCCAGGGCGTCTGTGGGCCTGAGGGTAAGGCCCAGGGATGCGCTGAGTCCCTGGGGCAGAGGCACTTTTGGGACCTGACCGGCCGCCCTTGGGCTGCCAGGAGCTGGGCGGGTGGGCGCCGCAGGACTCAGTGCTCTCAGAGGAGGCCCTGCCCCTCACCCTCCCGAGTGGGGCCTTGGCAAGGACCCGGGTGCCTGGCCAGCTGCAGAGCCTGCGGACAGCGCCTGAACTACTGGGGTATCATTCCCGTGTAGCGGGGCATCCCCTTCTGCCCCTGCCCGGCCTGTTGCCTCACAGTCCAGGTTGGCTGATGGCCTGGGTGGCACTGTTTTCTCGCAGGAAGAAGAGGGTCTGTCCCCCAGCTGTCACCTCCTGTTGGCCCACAGCGCCTTTGCGGGGAGCCAGGCAGGGTGATTTTATGGCTGGACACGTGAGCACCATCCAGCAGCCCCAGATGTATGTTCATAGGTGCTCAGACTTGACTCACGAAGACATGCCATCGATGGCCCTGCTGTCACTCTGGCTCCGTTTGCATTTACTAGGTCATTAACTGTCCTGATTCCGGGACACGTAAGCCACTGTAATGCAGCACCAAATGGACAGTCTGCCTGATGGCCAGTTATGTGTTAAAAAAGCAGGATTGGGTCAACACTGAGTATCCCCATCTTAGAATGAATCAACGTGACATAAGAGCACACACGTCGCAGTCTGACATTCGTGGGGCAGGGCCCTCATGTTGTGGCCTCAGGGCCGGGAGGCTGCCACATGCAGCCCTCAGCGTGGTCCCCGGGGCTCCGTGAGCCTACCTCCCCTGTGAGACAACCTGGGGAGTGTGCTGGAGTGTGGGTGAGGGGCAGAGACCGACAGTTGGCATTTTTGTGCAGAACTGGAGACAAATGGGGGATGAGGATTCTGTCCTTGGTGGGGTGTGCGTGGCGGGGGTGTGTGCGTGTGGCCCCTGTGTGCGTGATGGCTGGTGTGCGCGCTGGCGGGGGCTGTGCACCGTCCAGATGTGCCGCAGCCCTGGAGGGTGGCGCCCGCCGGCCCGTGCGGGTGTCCCTGGCCTCTTGGGTGTCCTTGGCCCTGGCTCCCAGAGCCCACGGGCCCGCCTCACCTCTGTCTGTGAGAGGCAGCTGTTTCCGGTGCTGGGGACCCACGCCTCCCTCTGCAGGGCCCAGTGACTGTGCTGGGGCCCAGCTGGCAGGAGGGCTTGTTATGATGATGGAAGGGCCAGGCGCTTGGGTGTGGGGTCCACGTCCCCCTGCCTTCAGAAGTGACAGCTTCTCGGTTCTCCCCAGCTCCCCTCTCTTATTCTCCTGATTCTTGGGTTTTCTTGCTCGGCTCTTTAGGCTAAGTGTTTTCTTCACGTTGTCCACTTGAAGCAAATGCTTCTGATGAAACACACGGCTCAGAGCCACCAGCAGGTGTGGACTGAGGCGCCCCGTCGGAGGCAGCTGCGTTGGGTCGTGTTTCCAAGGTGGCAGCAGGACGAGAGCGGTTTTGCGGGGTCGGGCGCCTGCTGCGTGCCCTCGGGTGCCTCACTGCCCGGCACAGGGACTCCAGGTGCCATCGACCTGGGCATGGGTGTGGGTTTCTGTTTGGATCCAGTGCCATCAAACAAATACGTAAGGCTGCAGGCAGCCACTGTGAGCAGTCAGGGAAACAGGTGGCCTGGAGGATCATCTCCGAGGCCCGCCGCTGGGGGAGGGCTTCCCCTGAGCGCTCCCGCGCCCGCACTGCGTGCTGATGAGGTCTGACCTCCTCGTTTGTCGTTCCAATGGCAGCAGTCACTCTCCACCCGTAGATGTGCCCCCAAGACTGGGAGTGCCCCCCGTCTCACCGGCCGCCCCTCAATCCAGCCACACTGGGTTGTGGCCGTGATGTCACATTCCCAGACGACTGTCGTCCTAATGGTGAGGAGCCTGGGGAGCCAGAGCGGGGCTCTCACAGCCTCTCTGGGCTGCTTCAGTCTGGCCTGCAGCCAAGTTGGGACGGGGAGGTCCCCACGCACACACACAGCAGTACTGCGTCGGTGGGGGAATGTCCACCTGGCACCTGCCCGCCTGCCAGCAAGGGCTTGCTCTCCAGGCCTCCGTCCCTTTGTGACTGAGCCTCCCGTGGTGGCTGGGCCCATGCAGAGGGTGGAGCATAGCAGGTGTCGTGAGGAAAGAGCCTGCCAGCCCAGCGGCCGCCTGGCCAGGGTGACAGCCTTGTCAAGAAAGCTGCACACGAGTTGTTTCATCTGGGTCTTAAGGAATGGGTGGGAGTTTTCAGGTCCAAGCACCCAGACCTGAAGCGTGCACAGAGGTGTGTAACAGCGTGCTTGTTACCATGCTGGGACACAGGAGAGGGGAGGGGAGGGGAGGGGGCCCACTCCTGGAGGGAGTTGGGCCTGATGAACACCAGGAGCCCCGAAGTGCTTGAACAAAGAGGGGGGAGCTCTTGTTAGCATCTGAGAAAAATCATTCTGGGTGTTGGGTGAAGCAGGCCGCCTGCAGGGCAGCTTTGAAGGTGGGGCACTTGTGGGCTTCTTCCTGTGCAGGACGGAGTGCAGACAGGTCCAGGATGCAGAGCAGAGGCAGCACTGAGCCAGGGCAGGCGCCAGACACAGGGGAACAGGGGGATTGGGATGGGCTGGACTTCTTAGCAGCGGGTGGGAGCTGGGTGACAGTGGGGGTCCCAGTTCCATTTCACAGAGAGGGAAGCAGGTTTGTTCCACAGCTTGCCTCTGGCCACACTGCCGAACAGTAGTGAAGCTGGACTTCAGACTTGGGTCTCTGTCCAGTTCCAGAGCCCGCGACTGCTGGGTATTGGGAAGGCTGCTGGATCAGCTAAGATCGTCAGGGTTACAAACACTAAGAATGATACATTTGCTCACATAACCAATACTGAAAGGGTGATAAACCTGGCCTCAGGCGAGGCTCGGTCCAGTGGTGTAGAAGCCTCACCAAAGACCTGGTCTCTTCAGTGTGAGCTTCACCCTGGGACTGGCCCCAGGGTGGCTGCCAGCAGCTCAGGGGTGACAGGACTTCGTCCTTGTCCCACTGTTATTGCCTGGTGCCCCAAGAGTTACTGTGACTAACTGCTTAGGTCCCATGGGGACCCCCATCCCTGGGTCAGGAGCTGGAGGGGGCAGACGGGCTCAGCCCAGATCAAGTGCCCACCTGGGCCCCTGGGGCAGCCCGGGAAAGGAGGGGAGGGTATCCGTCAGGGTAGACTTAGGCACTGGCGCCACCTGCTGCCTCCTGCCGGTAATGCGCTGCTTCGTGATACAAAGCAACATTCCTGAAGTTCGTGTAAGTGCCCGTAAGAAGTCTCTTTTCTCTTCCTAAACTAAGGGCACGAGAAACAGATTGACCCGGAAACATTCAAGGATTTCTACAACTGCTGGAAGGAGGCAGAAGCAGAGGCCCAAGAAGTCAGTCTGCCTTTGTCCGTGATAGAACACCTGGATAAAAACGAGTGTGTCTATAAGCTGTCCAGCTCCGTCAAGACGAACCGCGGCGTGGGCAAGATCGCCATGACCCAGAAGCGCCTGTTCCTCCTGACCGAAGGGAGACCGGGCTACGTGGAAATTTCCACCTTCAGAAACATAGCGGTAAGAGCAGCTCTGGAAGCCGCCCCAAGCTTGGAGGGCACACCGGCCGGAGCAGACCACCCGCCTCTTCCTGCTGCAGATCCTCCATGGGCCCCGTACGGTCTGTGCCTCAGTGTGCTCACCTGCAAAGTGGGGATAATGATGTACCCTCCAACCATGATTGCTGTGGGGACTGAATAGATTAGGTGTGTCACGCGCTCAGAGCTGCCGATGACTGACGTCTGAGACAGCTGGTGTGCGTTTGGGAGGGGAAGCGCGGGAAGCCATGCAGCTTGTTCTTTTGCCGACCTCGGATCAGAGAACGTGTGAGGAGCGTAGAACTTCCTCCCCGAGATACTCACTGAGAAACTGCCGGCCCCTGGGAGCTGCCGTAGCTCTCGCCTCCCGATCAGGTTCCTGGCCGGTCCACGCGGTTCAGTTTATAACAACTTTGAACGCCTGTTCTGTCATCTTCCCACTGAGGAGATCGGAACCGTGGCTGCCTTAGCTTTACTTCCCCAAGATCACTTCCTCAGTGTGTGAGCAGCAGGTCAGCTGTGTTAACCCAGCAGCAGAAGATTCGCAGAGACAGAGAAGGCAGGCAACGCCCCTGCAGCCAGCGGACCCCCTTCTCACTGTTTCCTTCAGTGCCCCCCACACCTGCTTCCACAGACTTCCTCCCAGGAGTCCAAGGAGAGAGGGACTTAAGGAGGCAAAAGAATGAACCACCGTTGAACGCGGTGGACGAGCCCAGCCGGGGGGCTGTGCTGGTGGGCTGCTCACGCCCCGCCCGGGTCCCCAGGGAGGGCTCGCTGAGCCCTTCGGCGTGTGTGCACGGGGACAGTGGACGACCTTAGCGCGCCGCTCCTACATTCACCTCTCGTCTGCCCCATGGCCCATCATCCCCCTCACGGCCTCTCTCTCTGCCTCTGCAGGAAGTCCGGAGCACCACGGTGGCTTTCCTGCTCCTGAGAATTCCCACCTTAAAAGTCAAAATGGTGTCCAAGAAGGAAGTCTTTGAAGCTAACCTCAAGAACGAGTGTGACCTGTGGCACCTGATGGTGAAGGAGATGTGCGCTGGGAAGAGGCTGGCCGATGAGTACAAGGTCTGGGCCCCGGGCTGCCCCTGCCTGCTCGTGCCGTGCTCCTCTGGGCTTGCACGTGTCTCTGCGGCCCTGCCCAGCGAGAAGCCGGGGCACTCGGGCCGTGAGCAGGGTGGCATTAGATGAGGTCTCATTGGGGAGCGTCTCGCTGAGGATGCTGCGGCCCATGGGACCCAGCGCGGGCCCCGTGGGGTTGGGGACACCCTGGGGGCAAACACAGGGGCCAGCAGGGTGCTGTGGGTGGACCGTGGGGATGGCTGTCTGCTCTCTCCTCACCTCCCCATTCTGGTGACATCCCCGGGGTTGGAGGGCAAGGGGGTCGGGGGCTGGACTCTGGCAGGTTCAGGCTGAGTATTCTGGGTACACACATCCTGCTCCGAGTGACTCTCCACTTCTCCCTGCACAGGATTAGGGTTTCGGTTGGGGGTGTAATAGATGCCTTCTGTATGGTTACGTTTCTATCCTGGGGAGTTTTGGACCTCCGTTTACTCTGGGCCAAGTTGATGGCTGTGACAGAGCCTAAAACACTTGCTTCCTGACCCTTTGTGGAAGTTTGCTGACCCCTGGGAGACACAGTCAGTATTTGCCTCAACTGAGAGTAAATGATTACATGACATCAAATCCAAAATCAAACGCTTCATGTCACTTTGGAAAAAACACATGTCTTCAGAAGTATCGTTCCGTGTCACGTGACGGTCCTGCAGGGAAGCGACTGTGGCTGTGCTGAAACGACCGTCTCTCCGGCAGGACCCCCAGTACGTGCAGCAGGCGCTGACCCACGTCCTGCTGATGGATGCTGTCGTCGGGGCGCTGCAGTCGCCCGGGGCCGTGTACGCTGCCTCCAAACTGTCTTACTTCGATAAGATGAAGAACGAGAGTAAGCTAAGCCTGTGTCTGACGCGGCCGTGGTGTGTTGGGTCTGTCTCCAGGGACTTTTGTCTGCTGTCTTTCTGTCTCCTCGGTTTTCTCGCGTTTCCCCCTTTCATGCTTTCAGGTTCTGAGTAGCACACGTCGCTCTGCGTCTTTCCTTTTCTTACCTAGCAATAGTCCTCGGGGCTCTCCGCTCCTGAGGATGCACTGAGGCGCCTGTCCTGGGCTTCGCATACGGAAGTAGGCGCTAACCACTGTCAAATGACCATGTGCCGCAGGTCACAGGTGCTGGGCTAGACCAGCGACGTAAATTCATGACACACGGTGGCCAAGGTGTGGGGATGTTTCAAAAACTAAGTCTAGTTGTTTGTATGCATTTGAGAAAATAAGTTTTATTGAGATACAGTTCTCATGCCACACCCTTCTAAAGTGTATGAGTCACTGGTTTTAGCAAATTCAGAGTTGCACAGCCATCAGCACAATGGATTTTAGAACATTTTCATCACCCACAAGTGTACAAAACCCCACGCAGTCAGCAGTCGTCCCTCAGCTGCTAAGCGAACGCTGGTCTACTTTGTCTCGATGGACTTGCCACATGGTCGCCCGTCTGTGCATTTCACATGCACGACATCATACGTGTCCTTTGTGCCTGGCCCCTGCCATGCAGCATGGCTTCCGTGTTCATCCGCGCAGAGGTGTCACTTTTTCCGGCTGAGTTATACTCCGCTGTACGGACGTAGTGCAGTTCATCCGTCCATCCACTGACCACTGAGTTTCTGCTTTCTGGCCATGAATGGTGCTGCCCTGAACGCTGACGCGGAAGTTTTGCTGGGACGTGTATTTTCACTTTTCTTGGGTATTTGGCGAGGAGGACTCTGTTTTTAAAGTGTCACCCCTGCTTTAGGGAAAACAAGCTTCAGGCACACGTTCACTCACCTCCATGCATTTTACCCTTCACGGTGTCTGTTGCTGTGAGATCCCTCGTGCTTCCTGGTCCTGGGACCACCCCCTCCCATGTCCCAGGACCCCCATCTCCAGGAGCAGCCAGGATGCTCTAGTTGCTGGAGTGACTTGCAGAAGCTCTTGTCAACAATCCTGGAACCAGACGTTGATTTGCTGGGGTTTTTTTCCCTTAATTAGGAACAAAATCAAATGCACGTCAGCTGTTTAGACCGCCCCACGCTCACGCCTAATCTTGATCAAGGTTTACAGAAAAGCCTCCTGAGTCCTCCGTGAACGAGGGCTCCACCCAACACGTGACCCTCAGTTCCGTCAGAGGGGAGCTGTGCAAGCTCGGGGTCCCTGACCCCTTGCTGCCAACCAAGAACTGCCTTCCCTTGTGTAAAGCTTGACGAGGCAACATGCTTAAGTTATGATCCTGGGCTTAAGTTAGTAGCTTATGGTCAATTCGTGATGGAAAATCTAAAAATGAAACTTTCTGAAACCTGCACCCCATCCCTGGGGAGAGGCATTTGGCAATGATTGGAGGTATTTGTGGGGGGTGTGTAGTGGGGGGGTGAGGCCAGGGAGGCTGCCAAACATCGTACAGCACAGGACGCCCCCGCGGCAGCCACCCTATGGCCCCAACGGTTGAGAGACTGCTCGCAGGTGAGATGTATAGAGAAGTGTTTAAAAGTCTTCACTCTGCCAGGTGACAGGTGAGTGCAGATGGAGGTCAGGGTATTTAGCTCGGGAGCTGTGATTAAACAGAAAGCAGCAGGCGGTCACTTCCCACCGCCAGAGGAAGGAGGCGGGATGCACGTGGCTTTACTTTAACGTCTGGTTGCAAAGATAGTTCATCTTCACAAACGAGAGGTTTTACCCCAGAACTACTAGTCCAGGGAAGGCAGAACGTGAGCTAACCCTGCGTGCGTTGGCGTTTCAGTGCCCCTGGCCGTTCCCAAGACGACCTCGGAGACGCTGAAGCACAAGATAAACCCGTCGGCGGGTGAGACAACCCCACGCGGCGTGGACGTCCTGCTCTACACCCCAGGTAGCGGTCTCTCCCCTCTTGGTGGTGGCTTTTTTCTGAACAGTCTGAGAGTTTAGACGCGTGTTCAAGGTCAGCCTGGAAGGGGGGTGCAGACGGCCTGATGGAGGGCGGTTTTCTGCATTTGAGGTGAAACCC